GCTACCGCTGCTGCCACTGCCACTGCCACTGCCACTGCTTCTGCTGCTACCGCTATTGCTACGACTGCTACTACTAATAATAAGAACAACGATAGTAACAATGATGATGATAACGATAATTATATCAAGAATGTTAACAGTCATATAATAGGAATCACAGCAATGGCAGCCCTCGAAGCTTGACGCATTGAGGTTGGTGGCGCTCCAGTCTGGGCTCCTGCATGAGCCGCGGCCTGCTGCCTCCTGCCTCTGCTCCTGTGGCATGCCATCGGGGCACGCAGCGCCGCGGCCAGGACTTTGGGACACTCCGCTCCTAGATCTTCGCAGATCTTCGCATCCGGGTTCAGGGCTTAGGGTTTCGGGTTTCTTCGCATTCGCATGCGGGTGGAGGAAAGATAGCAGCATCTTTGATCCTGAGATGACTACGATCAGGTTGCTCGTCTTAGAAGGGTCACCTCGCCTGCAGGGATCCCAGTCTCCAAGCGGAAACTTGGCTACGACTCCTAAAGCCCTGAGGGTTCGGCTAGACCATTCTCCCGGTTTGGAGGTCACGGCAGGTTTGGGGCCTTCCAGGCTGTGACGGGGTTTACTCGTCGCTATGCAAGGTTTGTAGGGTTTGGGGTTGCAGAGAAGTCGCCTGAACCCACACGGCTGTGACGGCTGCGATTCGGAAACTGACAAGCATCATTCTACCTCAGGATGCGCTGCCTGATAATATGCGATCGTATCGGGGTGGATTTGGGTGAGATCCTGCAATTCTCCTCAGAACAGGTCCGGCTGGTATACTGTTCGCATCTGAGGGGATGATGTTGACTACCGGAAGCCCAACTCGGCAAGCCAGCCGAAGAGCCTTTTTCCATGCTACAGGTCTGCTAGTAAAAAACACGGCCTGGGGAGAGCCCGTCAAACCCGATCCATCAGCAGAACCCAGGCTTGGAAGTCTAGTCTTAGGGGCCCCCAGGTTTGCCCAAGACTTTGCCCAGGTGGTCTGCATGAGCCTGATGACATTTCTGCATCCTGGTTGAAGTTGAAGATGAAGACAGCAAAAACCCTGGTCGCATTGATTTCCGTGCTTGTGAAAATGAAGCATTGGTTTTGCGATCTTTGCTGCGATAATTGTTCTTTCAATCATTCCTTTGCTTCGTTTCGATGCAGAAAAAAGCCTGCCGTGATGCTCATTGCAGGCTCCGGGATGACGTGGTTATCTTGTTCCAAGATGCCAAGCTGAGGTGGTGCGAGCTCTGCAGCCGCAAGGGACCAGCTCTGCTACTCGAAGCTGTTCGGGGAGCTCTAGGGAGATTTTGGATTCAGGGATTCGGGGCTTCATACTCACGTTGCCGCGATGCCTCTGTGAGCCTCTGGGGACTTGGAGATTTTGCTTGGGTGATGTTTGAAAGATCGGGGAGGTGCGGGTGGTGACCCGCAACCGCTAGAATGTGGATGTCGATGCGTGGGTATTCGGCGCCTTCGTCGTCTCACGATGCTCACTTTGGGGCTTTACGAGTTTGCCAGAGGTTGGGGCTTGCGGTTCAGGGCTTGTGTTCTGGGTTCACGACTTAGACCCGTGTGGATCCTGTAGGTATCCTTGAAAGCGAGGGTCTTAGCCGAGCCCGGAGAGCCTCACAAGCTTAAGACCCGGCAAAGCATGAAGAGAAAAAACCCAAAGCCTTAACCCCAAGCCACTACCATTCTGGGGGCTTATGCCGAGGCCGCAACGCTGTGGATTCTGCGCCCTCGCGACATGGCTCTGTTGCTTTATGCTTTGAAGCCCGGAAGTGGAAGGCGGTGTTTCGTTGAGGACTGCGAAGGACTCAGGTTCAGTCTATCAGGAGGTTGTTGTTGTAGTTCCTGCGAAGATTCTTCCTCAATAGCCACCTTCTGGGTCCAGTGCCCAGTCTTCCGTGATAGCCCAACCAGTGAATCACAGTCCTCCTACCAACGGTATGAACAGTGCTGTGACGGTACCCTTCATACGTAAACGCAGTGTTGTTAGTAGGACTGCAGCTCAGATCTTCCAAAGAGTGTGCGTCTTCTTCATTTTTCCATCTCCACCAAGATTGCCATCTTCTGGCCGATGCTCTTGTGGGGGTCAGTACCGTTGCACTCTCCAGCAGTTTGCTAGCCCGCAAGCCGCGTTTTACCGCAGCTTAATTGGCCGTGGTGTGCAGGACACGGCTTCCTCGGTTCCTTGCTTTTTGCTGCTTGACCAACATGTCCTGCCGCAGCCACCCCGGCCGGAGACAAGTGTAGTCGTGTACAGACTCAGAGCAAAATATGTCTTCCGGCTCTGTGTTTATTCCATATCCAATGAAGCAATTGCTACGGCCCCGATTCTCCTGGGCCATGATTTGGCGTCGGGCTCAGTTTCGTCGTTTCCGAGGGTCCTCAGTGCTGCATGGGCCTGCGTCATGCTTGATAACGTAGTAGCATAGAGCAAGGCCGTGTTGTTGCAACTACTTCAAGTTGCATTCGATATCTGCCTGCTAGACACTCCGGGGCCCTGAACTGTGGCAAGGACAATTCTGTCCATGGCTGCTGCAATGAAGCTCGGGCAGGCTAGCTTTCGTGTTGCTGCCTCGTCAGGTTCGCGGTAATCTGTTACGGATCAGTGGGCAGAGCGGTGTGGTTCCGTGTTTTTTTCTTGGACCGTGTTTTGGCCTGCAGGAGTCGAACACCGATGCGGAAGCCATCCACACCGCATACACCGCAGACTCTGAACACCTGCACGGGTCCGCAGAGATGCAAAGTGCACTGCTGGCCCGCTCCTCCAGAAGCGCGTCGCAGAGTTCTGATGCCTCACTCGATGCCGCGGTGTCGGCAAAGATTTTCGGCAGCATCATCGACACTTTTGAACAGCTTGGCACCGTTCTTACCGATGCAGGCGCATTGTCTTGTGTTTGATTTTGCCTTGCTCTCGTGATTGTCAAGCATGTTTCGAGGGCAATGGACACACACGGGGAAGGGTCCATGTCTTGAAGTGCTAAACCCCCAAGCCCTAAACCCGAAACCTTAGACTCTGAACTTGTCGAGGCATGGAAATCGGCACGGCTCTGGGCAATTCCGCCATGGTCATCGGCAAACAAGTCATCGAACCACCGAGGTTGAAGTTCGACACGGACTTAAGAACTTTAGCCACTTCCATCGGAACAGCTCCCCTAACGCTCGGCCGGTCGTATACTGATGTTATATCAGTTACTGCCACGCAAGCAACCCAGCTGGCACGAACCACCTTGGAGCACGCGAAGAAAGGAGTTGCGCAGGGCGAGAAGATCGCCTCAAAGGTGGGGAGCAATAGTAATTACTACTATTATGATTATTATTATTACTATTATTATTATTATCATTATTACTATTATTATTATTATTACTACTATTATTATTATTATTATACTATTATTACTATTGTTACTATTATTACTATTATTACTATTATTATTATTATTATTATTAAGGCCCCTGCATTAAAGGTGGGGAACCTCATCGTTGACAAGACGAGGGTCTTGGGAGACCCGATCAACAAGGTTGGGCCTTTGGCTGCAGGCTTACTGAGTGACGCCTGGGCAGCGGTAAAGTCCTTCGTCAACTGCTTCGACATCCAGGTCTCTCTTTGCCTCGTCCTGCTTGGGAGCCAGTGTGATTGCGGTCCAGGAAAAAGCCACGTAAATATCGATGACGACTGGATGGAAGTGCGGTGTGTCTTCACGAGCACCTCCGAGTTTTCAAGATCTTTTGGTGTCAGGGCCACACAGGACAGCGACGGCGACAGCAACCTCCTGCCCGGGGGCGAGTATGATGAGCCCTATGCGACGTGGGAAGACATAAAAACATCCACAGGGGGCTTGCAGGAGACCCGGTCATATCGAGCTTGTGGATTTTATTGGAGGTCTAGGTCCCCGGATTTCTAGGATTTTAGGGGTTTAGGGTGAGGACGGTTGCCTGGTTCGGTCTTTTGGGCCAGCAAGTTTAGCTTCAACCCTCAGCTCTACTCCCGAAACCCTGAGAAACCCTGACATTCCATGGATGTGTTCCCCCTTTTTTGGCCCCCCCAAGAAGGAGATGCAAGCGGAAGGCCCGGAGGGCCTCTGCGAAACGGAGCTGAAAGTGGCCGTGGACGGCAAGACGCTCTGGAGCCCGGACATGACGGTGAAGGTCTGGGAGAACGGGGACACCTGGCCCCCTGGCGGCTTTCATTCCCTGGTGCTGGGCCCTAAACCCTAAACCCTAAACCCTGCGTGAAGGGTGGTCCTGGGGCCTGGTAGCCCCAAATTTCCGAGGGCGGGGCCGCGAAATTTGCCTAGGATCAAGATCAGCGGCTCAGTGCGGGGCTCCTACGACACGCTCGTCACCGGACAGGGCAGCTGCAGCTACACGCTCAGACGAGGCCTCCTCAATTGATAGAAGCTGAGAGAGCCATGAGGTTTCCAGGAATTCCAGAAGGGCATAGAAGGGCTCTAACACTGATGCCCATGCAGGCATACCGGAACAGCCCAAGACGAAGGTGTTTTGCGCCGGGAAGTTCTGCATCTCGACTTGATCGGGGCATGCACGCAGAAGACCGTCAGCCTCATGTACAGTGCAGGTTCCAGGCAAGGCAAGTGCCCCCATGTCCATGGGCCTAACGGCTGCTGTCCTAGGCGTCATGGTGTCGCTTCAAATGGTTGCAGAACTGGTTGGAGAGGGCGTCCTCACTGGAACCATTGATATGTCGAACGATGTCGAGTTCCAGATCTCCGCCGACGTCTTCGTCAAGAAGAACGGCGAGTCCACAGTTTCTGTTAGCAGCAACCAAGTCAAGCACGAGGCTGGGTTCGGAGGAAACAGTTGGGCAATGTTCCCTTCTCACTTCGTCTAAAGCTTCCTTGATACCACGTACCAGGAAGCCGCCGAGATCGGGGCGAGTGCAGAAGCAAGGTTGACACTCAGTGTGGGGCCAGAGCTCGTAGAAACTTGACGGCAGCACTTGTCGTTGGAGCTTCAGTTTGCAGCCTGCTTTTGAGCGAATCACTGCTCGAGAGTTTCGGCTTGAGCTACGAGGTGTGGCCTATGCCTGGTATCCCGGTTACATTCGCGCCCAAGTTCCACGCTGAAGCCAAAGCGAAGGGCACTATCGGCCAACCTGCAAGCTCCTCGCTTGTCTGTACCTGGAAGTTGCCCTAAACCCTAAACCCTAAACCCTAAACCCTAAACCCTAAACCCTAAACCCTAAACCCCTAAGAAGTTAAGAAGTTACCATGCCGGTGCCCGCTGAGGCTCGCTCCTGGAGGCCTCGGACTCGGTGTCCCGGCCCTGGAACCGCTCAAAGGCAAGCTTGGAGATGCTGGAGTCCAAGGAGCTGGGTGGTTGAAGGATTTCTGCTTTGGGTTTAGGGTTTAGGGTTTAGGGTTTAGGGTTTAGTAAACTTTGGGTCGTCCGGCCCATCTTTTACTTGGGGGTTTCCTTGCTGTCGGGTTGGTGCTGTCGAGGATGCCTCGGGTTCCAAGCATAGGCCCCGATGTTTCATGTCGACTCCTTTCCCTCAGACTTCGAGAGCGTTGTTCTTGAAGTTGGCCTAAACATCTTCAACCTCGCCACCTTTTTCACACTTCCCGCAGCCCGCTTGGTCCATTCCCAGATCACCACTGTCTCTCAGAGCTCCAGCTGTCAGTCCTAAACCCATGAAGACCTGGATACACCCTAAACCCTAAACCCTAAACCCTCAACCCTACGAGGCAAGGGAGCCCCCAAACATTGGGAAGGAAGTGCAGGTCCTCTCTGGTGGCCCCAGGCTGCTTGTAAACATCATGTGGCGACAAGTCCTCCTTCTTCTACCCTAAACCCCAAGCCCCAACCCCTAAAATCTAGAGAGCCCTAAACCCCAGCGTCGCCCCAGAGAACCCTAAACCCTAGAGAACTGGTGTGGTCAGCTACGAACAGCTTCTCTACTGATCGGCTTCCGGTCCTGAGCCCTAAACCCTAAACAGCCCTAAGCTGTATTCCAGAAGAGCACCACCGACACGCTGAAGCCGTGTGGTGCCGCCGCCGGGAGCCTGGCCTTCTTTCTTAGGCAAAGGTCTTGTGATTGCAGGTTGTGGGCTTTAGGTGTAGGGCAATCTCCGAGCTTTTCGGGGCGGGGGGGGGATTTGGTGCTTCATTTTAGTTTAGCTTCCGGGTTTCTGGCAGAAGTAGTGTTTAGGGCCTTTAGGGTTTGAGCTTACGGCGTTTTGCGGAGGTCTTGGGGTTTGGGGCGACAGGGCTCCCTGCTGGGCCTGGCCTGAAGAGAGAGCCTGGGAGCGTGCAGCTTCCTTAAGTGGATGGGAAGGTGCATTTCCAGGTTTAGGCCATGTCGGAAGTCGCCGCCCAGGCCGTGAGTTTGTACACCGACTTTACCATCACCGGCTTCGGGATCCCACAGTGGCTGAAAGATTGGTTGAAGGACGAATTTCTCCGGAGCAAGATCAAAGCCGCCATTATAGAAGGCAGCTCTGCGTTTGCTCATGGGGTCCTGAGCTAAGGTTCTACTGCTACACCACCCAGACACCCATGCCAGTACCCTGAGTTTGAACATGCCCAGGTGCAAAAGCCATGCTGGAGATGTGGCCAGACTGCGTCCCTGGCAGTTCAGTCAAGTCCAAAATCGAGCAGGCTGCCATTGATGCAGGGAATGCTATTGCGGCCCTGATCCCCGGGCTGCAGCTCACGTGGGACTTGAAGCCGATTCTCCTGCTAAAGCCCCAGATGTTCTTCTGCAAGGAGGTGTGGACATATCCGGAGGAAAGAGAGGATTTCGAGAAGGCCCCCTGCGCCGAAGACCTCGGGTGCCGGACCGCGGGCCAGGACCCGCCAGATGAGTCGGAGGTGGAAATGGTGCCGCCGGAGCAAGCGCAACCGCCGAGTGTAAGTCGGTCAGACGACGCCTCGTCCTGCCCCAGCAGTCTTAGAATGGGCGACCGCGTGATCGAGCTGGGCGACTTTCGCATCGCCGAAATTGATCCGAGCCACCTGTCGATCTCGCACAGGGACCCTTGCCTCGTGTAACAGTATGCCTAAGCTTTTAGCCCTAAGCTGCAGACTTTCAAGAAGGCTTGTCATGGAGTGTTCTGTGTCAGGACGGGAGGGTCGGCGCGGTGTGGAAAAGCGACGGAGCTACTTGGCGCGGCCATCTTCGCGAAAGGAGAACAGAAACGACATGGGCGAAATACAATGCTTGGGCATTGAACAGGCGCGCGGCTCAGTGCTGCAACTTTTGTGAGAGATCCGTAGCTCCGAATTGGCTTCAAAGGCTAACCGACGGCTCGAAACTCATGAACCCCTAAACCCTAAACCCTAAACCCTGGAAAGGCCTGTTGGGCCTGGCATGGGCAAAAACATTAAGTTCGGCTACGAGTTTATCCAGATTGGCAAATTCCGCCTCGGGACCATCACCAACCAAGACCACTCATACTTCTCGGTCTCGTGCTGTGGCTGATTTCGGAGAAGTGCCGAGAGTCCGGGCTTGGCTTGGGGGCTTGGGGTTGAAGGTGTAGGGTCAAGGAATTAGTTTCTTTCTTCAGTGGTTGGGCTTCAAAGCTAACATTCCTGGGTCGTAGGATATAGAAATGTGACAGATTCGGTTGCAAGACGGTTCCTTCATCAAAGCAAACTCGTGCCAAGATTGGGTCTTTGGAGGAACTCAAAGCAATATAAGGCAATCAACGTGAATTGCCCTCGTGTTCTGTTTTGTTGCATTTTGCGGTTCGCAATCAAAGCGCGCAGATACCCCAGACTGTGACAGAAACTGGCCTTTCTCCCGAGCCGTGTGTGGGGCCACTGCCACGCTTGTTGAGGGGTGCTGTCGCAGGCTTTGGCTTTTTAGATGCATACTGGCATCCCAGAAGCGAGCCAACGTCGTAAAACGTCGTAGATGTCCTGCAGTGTGCGTGCTTCGTCTCCGTGCCCCTTGTTCCTTGGGTGCTGCGCATTTTTTTTGGTTTGCTGCTTACTCGGGTACCTCGTCTCTGTGCTGCTTGGCTGTCCGGGTGGGCCTCGCACTTTGTTCGTGCATCGCCGTGCATCTTCTGCTTGCTCCTTGGTGTCTTTTGCACATATGTAAACTTATAAGAATAGTCCAAAGTGTAGTTATGGAGCGAAAGACTTGTTCGTGACCGTGATGAGAATGTCATGCCGTTGTCGTGAGTTTTGTAATTCAGGCATGCGACAACCGGGAAGACCTCGATGGTCTTGGAAGACGATGGGACTTACATGTGGGGACCCAGGGATGCTTCTCGGCAGGGTTTTTAGCGCATGGTGTTAGCGTTACAGCCCGGAGACCCCGCTGAATCGCAGGCATTGTTCAGAGCTAGGTGAGGGCTGCAAAGGGACACTTCAGACATTCCTCGTCGTAGCAGTGTTGAATGTTGGGTCAGGCAGGAAACCCGTCACAGGTTGAACGGCCGTTGCTCATGCTTTCGTTGTTCCCAAAAAATCTTACCGCCAGTTGTGACCAGGACTACGATGTCATGGATCGCCCTGACGGAGTTGCGGCGGGCATAAGTTATGGGGACAGGCCTCTCGGCTTGGAGAGTTGTGGTCAATTGGGGTGCTGGATATCACGAGGGCCTTTCTTGCAGGAATGACGGCATCCTCGGTCCAAGAGGATGTCCTGAAGCCTTTAACTTGTACCTGAAAGAGTATTTCCCTCACTAGGTTAAAAGTTATGGCGTTCTCAATATTCTTAGGAGAGCAACCTGAAAATCCTAATTTGCGTGACAAACCAAGCTAGATAGAAGCCGGGGGAAACAGAGGAGAAAGATAAACTATAGGATGAACATGGGAAAATCTAGGAAACATGGTTGACAAGTGTAACAGTCTGAACGAATAGAAGAATGCAGGAGAAAGGTTTGCTTGTGCCGGCCATGTCCGCTTGCCTGTGGCATGTGCTTCAGTACTTGCTTGTTTACATGTCTAAACACTTTCATAAGTGCAGTGTGTGGGTTGGTGTGCCATACCACAAATGAGCAGAAGCGGAGGATGAACATTTCAAGCCGTCAGTCTCTCTCTCTCTCTCTCTCTCTCTCTCTCTCTTTCTCTCTTTTGGGTCGCCTTCCCTCTTGTGCATGCTTCACACATATATACATAAAGGCATTCATGCATACGTACATACATACATCCATACTTACATACATAGGTGCATAGATACATAGATACACACGTACACCGCATACATATGAGTTTGCACCGTATTGTTAGGCTCTTGGGAGGGGTTGGAAGCTCCAAGAATGCTTTGAAGTTTCCTGATTGAGGTGGATACAAATTGGCGACTTCCGATTTGGAGATGCAGGCGGCGACTTTGCATTTCTCCACACCAGCAATGTCACTCTGGAAGTGTACACGTGCCTGGACCTTTCTGTACGACCCTGTTGGTTTTTCTAAGTTTTAACGAAGTTGCGAGTCCTACTCAGACAGATAGTGCCTTGAGTATGGACCAAGGAGCGCAGGTGACTTCATAGAGTCGAATGCTCGTGCAGGGAGAGGGGTCAGCCTGCTTGATCTACATCCGGCCAGTTGGACCTGCCCGAGCATCGGAGACCTTGGGCACGGTAAGTGCACCCGGGCCATGGTGGAATCAAGCTTTGTACCTTTTAAAAGCAGTCTGGCGTCAACATAAGCATTCCCTGTCCAAAAACCGGAATGCTCAGTCCTACAACGCCAGGCAGCGAGGACTTCGGAGGGTGGGGCGATCGCTTCGTCCAGCTGGGAGACTGGCGTCTGGCAGCTATCGACGAGGACAACTTCGCCTTTGTGCACAAGAACGGCAAGAATTCCGAGGTCTGGGCAAACTTGTACGTCTGTGTTTCTCTCTCTCTCTCTCCCTCTCTCTGTCTGGCAGCGTTCACATGAGTTCATGTAAGCTGAGTCAGGCCCGCGCGTTTGCCGCCCAACCTGTCTAGGTACTGTTGCTGTGACAGCACACATCGCGATAGATCGGTGTATCCAAGAGGGCACGGGCTCTATAGTAACAAGGCCTGCCTCTCACCCGTCAAAAATGAGGCGAGCCATCATGAGCGAAACGGGGCCGAGCCCGTCACAAGAGCATAAGGATTACTTCACACGACAATGCACTCATCACTTCAGCATGTCATTGGGTTGCTCAAGATACGTCTGCATGTCTCGCTCGAGGCCTCCTTTCGGAGCTTGGCCATGGAGAGTTTTTCCACCCTTCTCATGCAGTCCAGGATGGACATAACCGGCTTAACGTGCTCGCCAGCCGCAATGCACACCTTCATCTTGGACTGATAGCATTTCTTGGCACGGCAAACATGAACAACCGTGGCCACCATTGCTGGAGTGCCACAATAGTCATGTACATGCTTTTGCACTGCTTCCCGCTCCGCGGTTGTAACGGAATTTTGCTTTTACAACGTCTCAAGCATCGCAATCCATGCGTGCGTGTCCTACCGGAGCTTGCCCTCTCGAAGATTTAGCCTTGAATTGCTCAGAATGAAATCGGAGTCCTTGGGCATCTGAATCGTGAGCAGTGCGGCCGCCTGTATCTCTCTGACGTCCATTCTTTAGAGCTTGGTGAACAGCTGCATGCCTTTCATGAGGAACTTGTCGCTACTCGTAGCCACCGTTTTGCTCACACCACACTCCGAGCTTGGAGGATTCCGTGTTTGCGCCCACGGGGTCAAAGCTGATGTCATTTCACCCGCACTGACAATATCACAGCTACTCGGATCACTAATGGCCCGATGCTGCGCATCTGGAATCGGCAATACAACATGTGATGAAACATGATCCAGCAAGTCATCCACAGAATCAAAGCACACCTCGCAAACGCGACATTCCAAGCTCTCTGGTTGTTGGACATCAAAAACGACATGACTGCCAGTACCACCACAATAACCCCTTCCCAGCCTTCTCCGAATATGGTTTCTAGCGGATAAGACTGACGAAAAAACATTTTTGCACCATGGACATTGGTTTGTAATGGAAACCCTGCAGATGTCGGACAGGTTGTCGCATGTTCCACCTTTCGTCGAACTTTTGTGCAGCGCCAAAGCTTGTGGTGTCCTTCCATCCGCGAGAGTACAATCACAAATGAAACTATGCGCGACATCGTCAACATCATCATAGAATACTTCTTCCGCTGGGGTGGAACCCACCCAGGTGGCGGAATGCAATTAGGCGCAAACGTCCCCCACAATGCAGACACATCCACTGCCACAAAGTCCCCAGAATATTCTGTGAACACAAGAACCATGCACCCGTGTAAACGATCCAATAAAGATTGCCCGTCATCAATCGCCTCGAGTGCTTGCATATCTTCCTGAAACTGAAGCGCCCATGGGCTTGCAGAAGAGCTGATCTTACCATCTGCATCAACAGGTTCAACATCATCACCTGCCAATCGGCCGAACATGGCCAAACGAATGCAAATGTGTCTGCTAATATTTGTAGCCTGTTGCTGATACCACCGAAGTCTTCGCACTCGGAGCTCAAGTTGATATGGGCAGAATCCCAACATCTTCCAAACTGCTTTCGAGGAACATGCTGTATACCCTACGCTGCCATCACTTTGTAGTTCCTTGTTGCAAGCACGTCCTTGAAGCACCTTCCGTCGTGTGCGCAACATGTACCCGTCGAGTTGCTGATATTTTTGGTTTTCCCAAACCAGCACTTCGATACCTGACAATAAGGTTGACTGCACAAGTGCCTTGCATACCAGGAGCTTACTGCGTGTATTAGCCTGGTCGGAACCAAAAAAGACCCCGTCCGACCCCAATCCACTTTTGCTGCTTGAATGCGTAGCGCAACTTCTTCATGTGTCCCCTCTGCACAATGAGCCCGTCACCCCAAATACCTGGCTGATTGCACTGTAGATCCTGGCAGATGTGAGTCCTGATAGACTTTGTGGTGGTGCTGCTGAGAACTCTTTCCCCCGAAAAACGCCACTTGCTCCTGCTGGCCAATGTTCTGCACCGGCCGAACTTCCCATAAATGTCTGTCCAGAGTGGCATTAGCCACCTTTAAAGCCTGATGTAACGCCTCCGGATGCTGCCCCAATGAAATCCTACTGACATCAGCTGCGTACGACGACATCGCCAAATCTTGCTCGAGCGACCCATGGATGACTTCACACGTCGCGTGTAGGGTTTTACTCTCATTAAAGATACCCAAGTCATTTGCCCACTTGTCCAACTGTGGATGATATGGCTCCAAAAACAGTTGAGCTGCACGGCCATTTCCCTGCGATGTGCCAGTACCCGGTCTGAAATCCGCGTCGCCACAACCGTCAGACACATGCGCCAAGGTTTCCGAATGTCGTTGTTCCAACAACCTCCGCAATCTGGTCAAGTGCTTCTGAAATCGCTGCCCTAGACTGCGATGGCATGGCATTCTGAGCGTCATAAAAAAGATCGTGCATGCGAGATGCGCTTGTTGCGTAGTCGACAAGGCAATATGTGTTGCTGACAGATGGGTTCCAAACGAGTTTTCTGTGAATACTAGCCCGCCGCATAACTTCTGTGGCTTTGAGGTGTGCCTTATTGTCATATATGCCTGAAGTAAGCATTCTCGCATGGATCCAAACAGTTGACCAATCGAATCCCGTCACGACCGAGCCTCCCATTGCGTTTGTCCAATTGAAACGACATGCTATGTTGCCGTTTTGCTGGCGTTTGTTCCCAACGCCGAATGGATAATATGAGAACCCACATCCAGGACTTGAAACTAGGGGCACGCTTCGCAAATGGAACATATCCCACTCCCGATCTGAGCTTACTCCTGTGGTAAGTCGGGTGAAACAATTGCCTCCAAACCTCTGCTGGAGCTGACCATGGTGGTACTGCTCTGCGCAATTTAGCTCGATGTACCTGTGAAACAAGCGCCCCAAAATCCTCCGACACAACTCCTGCAATGGCTTGAGCAGAGTGAAGTGGTCCAGTCGAAATCCTAGCAGGGACTTCTGACATTCTCGCCGCCTCCCATCCCCCGTCACAACCTCGTTTCGCCACGCCAGGTGTTGTTCCCAATCATCGACTGAAGGTCTTTGTGATACAGGTCGGTTGAAGACTCTTTTCTTTTTTTTTCAACCTGTTCGTTTGAAAGCTCGCATGCAAGCCTCCACATTCTGGAAAAATCCCGCTTGCCCCAAGCCGAGTTGAATTCATCTCTCTGCGCAAGTATATCCAGATGTTTCCGAGCCCTCCAGCACCTGATAAGTGCCTGCCATTGTGCAATTATAGCTGATACAAAATCTTTTGACATGGAGTCGGGGTGCACGTATGCGAGCCGTTCTGGTTGTGCCAAGGAGACAAGGTGAGCTCGCTGCTGTGCATGTTTGCATGTGCTTGACGTGCATCTGCCGGGTCGTTGATGTGTTTGCGCTGTACAGTATAACACGACTTTCCCTCATGCAACACCGCTGCATTGACAACTCCCCAGATTGCATCAGGAGGCTGGTTAGCAGAACAAGATACATCCATTTTCCCCAACTCTTCTTCACACTCTGCCAAGAACTGCTCCCGCTTGAAGCCCTGCAAAACACCCTGCGCCAAAGCATCTCTGTCCCGTCCCGAGGTCGAATGCTCCAAGAATAGTTGCTGCCTGAAAACATAGCTTGTGCCTGAAAACACACTGCACCGGCATATGGTCAGGCTTGCCAGCTGCTGGGAATGAGCTGCAGCCATTTGCCTTGCGCATATAAGACATTGCGCCCGTCCACTTGTTGCAACATGAATTCTGGAATGACCGAAGTTGCCAAAATACGTGTCACCAGCCGGAAAGAAAGTGTTTGCTGCAACCATGTGTTGTTTAGTATGCAATTCTCGCAGCTGCTCGCCATTGAAATTCCTTGGTAACCGCATCAATCGTGCCAGCGCTGGGAACCCGCGGACCACGGCCAAGACGAGCATTCGCACCTGTGCAAATTATGAGCACACACCGAGCCGGGGTAAGAGATAAGACATGACCAACCTATGCCCACAGCCTTACGACGTATTGTTTTTGTCCTTCTGAAGATGTGGATTAACACGAGCATGCACGTTGACAGCAAGGAAATCCACATCACCACGCTTGAGTCGAATGGCCCCTGCGCGGCCAATGAACTCTTCGGGTGGTGTAAACACTCACACCATGTGCTTGAACGAGAAGCTTGTTGCGCACTGCAATGACCAATCCCGCTGCTTTGCCACTGTGCATAGAACAGCCCCACTCAATGATGTTAAAGCCCGGGATCGTGTACTGACCCACTTGCTCGTTTGTGCGCCTTCGGGTTCCCTGAATGCACACAATAGAGTTCCAACGTAGCTCAGACAATATGTGTCGTAGTCGTAGCCTTGGAGTTTGCACGAGCGATCATGCATTGTCAGAAAGAGCACTCCGCTGCGGTATAGAATCCATACGAGTCCTGATCGATGTGCACTGCAGGGCGAAGTCAAATGTAGACCCCGACTACGCACTTTCGGAAAGTTTCTACCACTCCGCATCGGCTAGTGCTCTTCAAAGCAGTGCAAAGCTGTATGTGCGGGCATGCGTGTGTTCTTTTCTTTTATGTTTTCTGTTGCTGTTTCTTGACTGTTGTACATATGTGTTCATGTATGCTTGTATTCATGTTCGTACGTAGGTCCGTACATAATATGCACACATGTTCGTAGTGTGCGTAAGCAAGCAAGTACGTAAGCAAGTAGGCCGCTGCAAGTATGTATGTATGTATGCATGTAGGCAGGTGGTGCCGGGTCAGTGGCTTCTCCCCGCACGGCCAAGCCAGACCTCTCATCCGAGAGAAAATAATGGGAATGGTAACTGTGCGCCCTTTTTTGGGAACTCTCGCGCAAAATGATGTTGAGGACAATGACGCTAATGTGCTTCTTGCATGCTGGTATTCCGAGTGACTGTTTGTAATACCACTGCCCTTATGCTGTTCTGGTCCTAGGTCCCGCATGCTGTTTGCATCTGTTTGTTTGAAAATCTTGCATGGCTTGAAACCCTTTCATTCTGTGTATCTACCATCGTCATTCTATGCTAATTATCGGTTGGTTGATGTCTTTAAAAAGTACGCCTGAGCACATGTTTGAATGATTTTCATTCGCGACTCTTTAGCAAGGGACCGGACCAGAGTGCGGACGGGGATCATGATCGCAATCTTCGTCGTCATCATAAGATTCATCCTTGAGTTTGGAACTCAGGGCGGGTCGGAGTTCAGTAGGACATTCAGCCCGCAATAGTCATGAAAGGGATCCTTGTATACGTGCATGTAAGTGTTCGGGCTTTCGAAGTTTCCATGCAAATATGTATCTTCGTATGCATTCTTGTTTTTGTGTGCGCAAACAAAAGTTGCCACACACACACACACGCGCACACATCAAACTAGAGTAGATAGATGTACTGAGAGGTCGTTGTATTCACGCTTGAGATGTATGGTGTACATACATCGCAAGTGTTCTTGCGTGTGCCCATCAAGATGTATGCATGTCTTCGTAGAGTCAAGGTTCTTGCGGACCTCAACGCACATTGCATGTGCAACATGATGCCTTTTGCACTGAGATCTTCAAGAGCGACGGCAACCGCGTGTCGGGACGATTCAGTGACAGCGTGTGGCGCAGGCGGGGGCAGTTGGTCATGTTGTTGTCGCATCTAGGCTGCATGTCACAAGCAAGCAGCACAGTCGTGTGCTGTCGTGTACGCATTGACTAGGTGTATGTTTACATGTCGCAGTTTACACCCAATGGTTAAAATGTGTTCGCAATAAACGGTCGCACAACATGTATGAAGATATAACGACCGGACACTGCAGTTGTTCACTATATGCTGACACACATGGTTTTATGTGTAAGATGAGTATTGTATATGGTATAGCAGTGCAACCGACACAAACCAACATCCACTTGCATGGCATCTGCCAGACTGACCGCATAGAATTCAGATCTAGAGTTGTGTGACAGCCGAAAATGGAAACCAACACGTTAGTGTAGTTGCAATGTATTTTTTACCAAGCACGTAGAGACACCATACTGCATTTATGTGACTTTTCGAGGTTCTTGCAGCAACGACGATTACAGCACCAAACAGCAAAGTCGTGTTAGGCATCATGGTGGCCATAGAAATGCAGCATCGTACGGTCGTGCAGAGCAGCCGGCGGCTGGTGCTCTCATACCGCAGGAGTCGCCATGGTTTGATATGGATTTTGCTGTTTGTGCTTTGGGACTTTTGCTTCTTGAAGGCCCCTCGGCTTTCCCCACGGCATCACCTTCGGGCAAAACTTCATCCAGATCGGCAGCTTCCGCTTGACAGCCTTTGACTGGAACCACTTGTCCATCTCTCACCAGAACCTGGGTCCGAGCTTTCAAGATTTTTCGCAAAAGGGGCCTTCAGAGGGGTTTAGGGCCTCAGAAGTTCTTGTTCAGGCTTTGCGGGGCTCCCTGGTCTTAGTTTCGGAACTCTGGCAAGGAGTCACCAGACACCTCAGACCTGGCGTGGAAGCGACGCGAGCTTGTGGCCTAAGCTTAACAGCATCTGGAATGCTTGGCAAGGCCGCGACGCACGCACCGCCGGCCCTGCTGCAGGCGTCGGGCACCTTGGATTTACTTTAAGGCATTTTGAAATACTGCTATAGTAGCCAGCAAGAATGTGCCAGGAGCACAGTTGCAACTTTTTGAATGGTATCCCGTCAGTGATCCAGGTACGGGGACAGATACTTGCAACTTGGCAGATTCCGCATCGGAGTCGCAGACGATCCAGGACACAGTCACTGGTTGTTCGTGACCCACACCGACGACGGTGGTGACGGTAGGGTCATTCAGGTCGCTAGGTCTCAGTTTCGAAGCTACTTTTCTGGTTTATCATACTGTCAGGTATCATTGGTATTTCTGGACACAAGCAGACCATGTCCTTGAGCATGCAACGTTGCTGCCTTCGGTTTTCTGCTCGCAGTCAGTAAACCCTAAACCCTAAACCCTAAACCCCAAGTGTCAGGCCTGGAAATCGGATGGCACCGTCCATGGAGGCCAGCGTCGACGCCAGTGGTCACCCGCCCTGAACCGTCGCATCACACAGTGGCACTGTGGCAACATCCAGAAGCTTGGCTTTGGGTTTAGGATTTAGGGTTTAGGGTTTAGGGTCCAGAAGCTTGGCTTTGGCCATGGAACTTTGAACAACTGCACGGGAATGGTACAGGTAGGCTCCTTAAGATCCGAACATCCACAAAAGGGTCCCGAATGTAAAGTAAATTCCACAGAAGGCTTGGCAAGATTTTGTGTTTTTGGTTTTTCGAAGACCTCCCAGCTGAGAGTAGAAACATGAAAAAACCCCTAGAACCTGAACGCCGAAACTTCAAGACCAAGCGAATCGAGCCACCAAGGGCAAAGCTCGGCTCCTGCAGTGGCATCACCGCAGGAGAAGAGTCGCAAAAATAACGGAAGTAGGAGACCGCATAGAAGCGTTTCGTCTTGGGTCCTGGATAGCGGGTTCAGGCTTCAGGGTCGAGATGTTTCGGGGCTAGGGTTTCAGGTTTCACGGTTTGGGTTACCAATCCACAGGTCCCGGCTTCATTCAGTTCGGAGACTGGCGAATGGCGGCCGTTGACAAATACCACTTCTCCATCTCGCACCGCTCCAGATTGTCCTCCGTGACCCTCGGGCCGTGTAGCATTTCAGGGGTTTCGGGATTTCAGGATGAGTCGAGGCTGTGCGGGATCATAGGTTTCCTTACAAAATTCCTGGAAGTGGCAGCTATGAAAATCGCCTAATGGATGCATCGCTTCAGTTGCAGTGGCTTCGTCCGAGAGCGCGGTGCCTGTGAGTTGCCCCGTCAGGATTTACAGGGGGTCGGATGGGACGGTCCACGCTGGACCCTTCCCCCACAACCCTCCTTCGAAAAACGGTTGGGACAATCGCGAGTCCGGGTACGTTCCTGCGGGCGACCTGCAGGAGGTGAAGATCGGAGATCGTTTCATCCAGTTCGGCAAGTTCTGGCGGGTGGGCGAATTTAACGCTATGCTCTCCATCTCTCATTCCGAAGGCCAGACACTGCTGGTCATCCAGCAGGATGGCACCATGATCGCAGGGCCCAGTACGGCTAACAACCTTTTCATTCGTCGTGGTGAGCCCAAGGGTGTCACCTTTGGTGATCGCTTCGTGCAAATCGGCAACTTCCGACTCGGAGACGTGGACGGGTGGCACTTCTCTATTTCGCATGTGAATACCGAAAAGCTGCTCGATCTCTTCAAAGGAGATGGAAGTCGGGAGCTGGGCAATGGACGCACGAATCATATGACGACACTTGGTCGTCCGCTGCAGGATTGCAAGGTTTTCCCCGACAAGCCTCGCCTGTTCAGCTTCGACACTTTGTATGCCTTCTACAACCCATGGCACGAGCGCTACCTGAGTTTGCACCCTTGTTGCAATGAGCAGACAATGACATAGCCTGACCATAGCCCCCACAGCTAGAAGTATGTTAGGCAGCCTGCAGCTGCGCCAGGAATTCGGTGGCAGACATGACATCCACAGCGATTTCTGGTGGGCCCAACGACTTGCCCTACAATCGGGCACACGAGCGCTTCGCGGTCGTGAACGCCGGCAACGGCCTCTTTGGGCTTCACAATGCCAAGAACAACAGGTTCATGATGCTGGAAGGAGTGGAGATGATGGCATCTCCACTTCGAGCTGCTGCTTTCGGCGTGAAGAGTGGCTGGGTGAGTGTGAAATTTGAGATCGTCGATGCAGGTGATGGTATGGTGGGACTCTACAGCCCCTTCCACAGGCGTCTCGCACAAATGCGCCCCGATGGCACCGTTCGAGCCACGAACTCACACGTTAATGATGCCCAGGACTTGCCAGCAAACACGGATTGGATCTGGGAGCGCTTCTACATGGTGCCAGTAAAGAACTATCTTCAGCCTGGCACCATGGTGGGCCTGTGCCTTGGGCGACTTTTGTCATAGTTTCGGTACGTTAGTCTCAGTGTTGCAGTTGCGCCGTAGCTCGACACAGCCGAGGTGGAACCCAACTGAGAGGCGTTTCCTCCAAATGGACAGCGGACGCATGGAAGGCACCGGTCAACTTGACGCCAATTTCCTCCAAGACAGGCATACCTGGGAGCGGTTCCGGGTGTTTGATGCTGGCAACGGGATGGTTGCTCTGCACAACTACCATTGGAACAGGTACGTTAGGATGATATGGAATGGGCAGCAGCATGCGGTGGCTGTCAGCTCGGTGTCTCCGGACGACGCTCGCATTTGCACAGGGCCTTGCTGTTGTCTTCGCGTTTTCCCTCTTCATTCTTGTCGATACTCGCAGTGTACATATGTATGTATGTATGTATGTATGTATGTATGTATGTATGTATGTATGTAGGCGGGTAGGTAGGTAGGTAGGTAGGTAGGTAGGTAGGTATGTATGTAGGTGTGTAGGTACGTAGGTATGTAGGTATGTAGGTATGTAGTTATGTAGGTATGTAGGTATGTAGGTATGTATGTGTGTATGTATGTATGTATGTATGTATGTATGTATGTATGTATGTATGTCTGCATGTTATGTCAGGTTAGGTTAGATTATGTTATGTTATGTTATGTTATGTTGTGTGTTACATCTATATGTATGCATGCATGCATGCATGCATGCATGCATGTATTTATGTATGTAATTATGTATGTATGTATGTATGTATGTATGCTTGTATGTATGTATGTATGTATGTATGTATGTATGTATGTCTGAATGTATGCATGCATGCATGTATGAGTTTACTGTAGGTAGGTTTGTAGTAGGTGGGTAGGTAGGTCTCTAGGTAAGCACATAGGCAGGTAGACAGTAGGCAGGTAGGTAGGTAAGCAGGTAGGTAGGTAGGTAGGTAGGGAGGTAGGTAATCTATGCTTATTCGTTCTTGTTATTCGCGTTCAGTTACGATTGTCGCTCCACGGGGACGGCTTGTCTAGAATCGATACTTGTGCCCATGTTACACAGTGTATCTGTGCGTGTTTGCCTATGTTCTCCCCGGACTCAGACCAGCGTCGAACTCCCCAGCGGTTGGACTACGGTGGCATTCGTCCCGGTGCCTATCAACACGGGCAACAATGAGATCGCCTTGTGGCATCCCGGTCATAGTCGTCTCTTGTCCGAGGTTGCATAGAGAGGGAAGCTCTTCCGGGGAGATTTGAGGAACGTTTGTCTATGACCGCTACCACCACGACGACTACCGCTACCACACCATACACCATTACCACTAACACTACTGCTACCGCTACCGCCGCCACCACCACCACCACCGCTACCGCCGCCGCCACC